TACCCGCTAGATGGCGAAACGCTACCTGTACATAGAATATTAGATATTATATTTATTTATGCTTCACTGTTAAGTGGAATGCGCTTGATGTTTAGAGATTTATTGAAATGCAAAGCTTCATGTGATAGACATTTACCTTCAAAGTCGTTATATATGTTCCTGCTTCCACCACAATTTCTACGTATTAATGATACGAAATATTGGACAATTTCTTCATTATAGTTATTAATTACAATGAAAATTACAACTGTACCAAAATTACTTTTACCGTATATAGTCCTCAATATCTTTTTCTAAGCGACTATCGATTTGTTTTGATGCAACTCAATTTGTTATGACGTGTACATAAAGGGCTGTCTCTGTTTTGTTACTGCAACGTCGTCTGGAGGGTGCAAATAAGCAAGGGACGCAAAGACTGCGCAGCAATGATTAAATAATTAATTAAATTCTTCAAGTTCACAAAAATTTTTAATTAACGTTACCTCGCGGTGTAGTAAAGCGGACATGGCATCCAGTTCCTTCCGCCGCGCCGCTCCGTCTCTCTTCCTAAATACACTAATACTTACAATAATAACACAGTAGGCAGTGAGTGTTATTACATACTGAGGTCGATTTACAACGGCAAACTGCACCCTAGAGCCATGTTAAAACCTTAACGGTAACTTGACATAACGTCATTGTGCAATTGTCTATTTTATATTCGTTCGGCATCGACGGTATAAGACTCGTCGCATTTTCTAATTTAACTCGAGACCATAAAGGGTTACATCCCTATCCCTCTTTTAGTACCTAGCGCCTTTCCTCCCGCACCACCTTCTTTTTTCTTTTTCCTCTCTTCCTGCTCTTCCTTCGCGATATTTAATCCGCGTTGATTTAACGATGTTTAATTAAGACGAATTTCATCTAAAGAATTCTTGGAATTATTTATTGAAGGGTTGAAAGGAAGACTGTACCTATTTAAGTCTTTTGTAGGAAGAAATTACTACGTTTTACCTATTTTTAATCTTGTGCAAAAATGGACGACAGCCCAAAAGTCACCTTCGAACACAGTGAAGAACTTGGAGTTCTCCTCAAAATGTAAACAGTATTTTAAGGGCTAGGATTTACTGAGATGGTTCATAAATTTGTATTTGGAATGATCTTCACACTATTGATTGGAATTGACTGCAATCCTTATTCCCATTTTTTATTAACAAAAGGCTTCTAATCTATACAAAGCATTTGGAGTTTCTCAGTTTTCTCCATTCCAAAACTCTGTATACACCCATGCTGAGAATGGATTTCCGGAACTACAAATTTGGTATTCATTATCATCTTTATCATCATAACGTCTTCAACTTGAAAGCTGGTTGGATACTGACTTCTACTTCTTCCAATCTTGAACCAACCTTTGCAGTTATTGAAAACTGCAGCAACCTCAATCTTTAACAATCCACTCTAATGTAATCTACTCTAAATTATCTCTACCTCTCTTAACACCTATTTCAGCTTCTAAACTCTAACTAGACCTTTAAGTCTAAGAAGGTGTTCTACCAACACACCTCACCTATTACTTACTGACTTCCATAAAGTTCTTTGTTCTCCTGCTCTTTCTAATGCCTCCTTATTTCTAACCTTTCCTTTTCCATAGTGTCCATCCCTGTTCACGTTTCACACCTACACAGAGCGGTGCTTCAAACACACTTATTTAATAATCATTTTCTAATTTCATATTTAACCGATCACTAGCCCAAAATTTATTTCCTGTAAATATTCATTTGACCCAGCAACACAATTATGAACAATAATTTTGGAAAACAAATATCAGGTTTAGCACTTCTAGGTATAAACAGGTCACTTAATTGTGGAGAAAATGTATGGCAGAAGTTGGTAGGTGCTTCTTAATTTATTTAAATGATTTTTTCAAGAGATGGCGCCTCCTCTAGGAAAAGATATGTGTAATTAGACACCTGTCTCAGAATCTGCCACATTTAGTCTCTCGTTCTCTGTCTCCCTTTTAGTAAATGCTATTTGTCTGATATCGTTGCATCATTGAAGTTGATGTCACACAGATAGGAAACAGTGTGCATTGAACGAAAGATATATCACCGAGCTGTCCGGTCATTAGTTCCGTTCGCGTACACTATCTAGCCACCTGCGGAACTCGGCCAGAGAACGCTTGATTTAGAACCATTTATTTACCTACCGTGTATGTCTCGTCGGTTATTTATGAACACCTTTGTATAATATTTATTGCGAACGATGGTACAGATTTTGGTCTTTTACCAAACTTTTCTTTTAGGTTATAGTACCTACGCTAATTCAGAATTTTTCCATTAATTCGTCCATTGACAAATTTGATATTATCACAATTTTCCCTTTTCTAGTAATAGGGAAAAAAGGTATGCGCGTTAACATTTCCAATTTCCCAAAGATATAAATCGAGTCTCTAGAAATAGATCGACTTGGTAAAGTTGATTAAAATACCGACATGGGATGGAAATAAAAAGGAATGGAATTTGGGGAAGTATTTTCCGTAAACAGATCCGTATATATGTATGTAACCGTGTCGGAATAACCCAATTTGCAGAAGTCGCCCTCGTGGGGGCTTTCAACACACAGTTTGATGGTCTTGTAATCGCAGATAATTGTAGTAGGGAATTAGTCGAACAACAATGTCAGCTTTTTTATATCGTCGCTAAGAACAGTCGAAGGCATCATCAGAACCGTTTTCTTTTGTCATTGTCGAAATGCTTACAGCGCCAACTTTCATTTCACAAAACGCACGTTCTGTTGTTGCTGTTGACTAGAGCTAAATAGTTCAAGTGTACCTCAATTTTGCCCAACTTTCGCATATTTCTTGACAGCAGCTTTATTACGTTCATAAATAATAAATGGTTTCTAGTATCATTGATTTATCATTAGGTAAGACGTGTTTTTCAAACTTGTCGTTAAATTTGTTGTATACCCAAGAGAAATGTTTTTATTTCCTGAACATGAGATCGTTAAAAACTAAAATGATAAACGATTTTCGGTCGACATCAGGGCTTTCGCGACTACATTTTTACTCACATGAGGTTTTTTACTCCTCATTGACGATGGGTCCCTCTTGAAAAAAAAAGACGGGCCCTCGGTATCTTCGTCAATCGAAAACTTTATGATTTACGAGCCTAACTACTGACATACATTGATTGCTCTTGGTTAATTTTAAAAATTTGCTGAGTCTCCAGGGGAAAGCTTGGTAATAACAGGATTGTGGTATAGAATTCTTTTCATTTTAAACGATCTTTTGCTACCGCAATCTTACCGAAACCATTCTTCGTTTAATACACTTATTTGGCATTCTTTTACCTATTGAAAAACTTAATCATTGTGTTCCGCCTGACCTAAGCTTCCATTTGATGTTCCCCTTCAGGGGGGATTATAGTCATTTAATATACATGCAAGAAATTGATTGTTATATCTATTGAACGGGTGGTTTTTCCAGATGATACGATTACTATCATTGGCCTAAGTTTTCATTTGATACTGCACATCCCAGTGTGGCGGTTATCCTGAATACTAGAGACTACCCAATCTTTTAATGAAATGCGTTTCCGTTGCCAGAAAGAAAATAAAAAGGAAAACATCTTTAAACCTCCAACACACTCTAAAGATAAAATTTGACCTTTGAGTTAGTCCGTCTAAAATTTGTGCAGGAATTAATAGAAGTGGTGTCTTTGGAAAGTGTTTCAATGGAAATTTTGACGATTGCATGGCTAGTTTTTCCGCCAAGGGTCCTAAATGTTTAAAACTTTTACGTATTTTTCAATTCTAAATAACTGACTCGATTTTGACTAATTCGAATAGCACATTCTTTTTGAGATAATTTCAATATTTCTCACCGTAGAACATGGACTATTTCGACTTTTAATCAGAATATTTTTCAATTTTAATTTTGTTGACTGCTTGCGAAAAATGTACCCATCGAACCGAAAAACATCTCATGGAACACTACTCAGTCTCATTCGATTTACTTGCGATATAATGTGGTGGTTTCCCACTGCCTTCCACATCGCAGTATTGTGCATTAGAGTGCCATACCAATCCTCATGATCTCTACCATCCTGAGTACTGAAAGAGCTGCTGCTCTCTTTCAGGGACTTGTCTTAGTCTGGTTTCTCTTTAAGAACCGCCCCCCCCCCCATTATGGTTGAACCTATGGTCCGGCTCCCTAAATCATCGAAACTTGCAAGCCGATCCACCCACTCTAGTTTGCACAAGAGTTTCGTCAAGGTTCAAGTCCCTTCGGATCTTGAATAACAAATTTTCATTAGTATTTTTCTTCTTTGAATAAAATCGAAGCTTCAACTTTAATCATTTAATAAGAGAATTCAGTAATAGTTAGTGTTACTGAATTTTTTCGTGAATATGGGTCATGTCTTTCATTGTATGTACTAATGTACTGTAAACAACATAGAAGAACATTCATGTAGTGTTATTAGTTGTCTGTGTTGTCGATTTTCCGACGCTCCCGTCTGACGTGATCGGCGTCCCGTCCGTCTAGTCTAGTGCCGCTACTTGTGCCCTTATTTCTTTAACACTTCCAGTAGCAGCGAGATGCGCAAGTAATCTGACGAGGAGTCTGTTAATGTTTCCCCAGACGGTCGTTACGCGGTGCTCTTATCGCCGACTGAGCCACTGATTGCTTCATTTCAGACAATTGCCTGTTTATATTCGGCCGACCACCGCCGCACAACATCAACCGCATTACTAACACAAGCGAACGCCACCAACCATCGACCTCCCCAGTCAGATTTTGTCGTCGTCTTCCTGCCGATCTTCTTTCTCATCAGTTTCGTTCTCGACTACTGTTAACTATCTCTCTATTTCCGATTATTTTTACGACTATGATGATGATGATGCCGTTCGACTTGAAGCAGAACTTCCTATATATGTGTCTGATTTGTACTTTAAATATCTATATGGTTAACTGCCAAAATTGCTATGGAAACAGACGTCTCAGATTTTATTTTTTTTATTTGAACGATTGACATATATCTATTGATATACATATATTATTGTTATGAAACAGTTTGATATGATTTGAAGTCCCTAATGGCGCAGGCAGACAAATGCCAGGTTTGTTTTAATATCAAAATGAAGAATTTTCCTTATATTTTTTCCATGGTTTCTTCCTGTAGCGCCCGCTTCGAGTGTTGATAACAGCTGCTGCAGGACATGTAGCTTATTCCCTAGTATTCATGATAGCAAAGGGTGCTTGTTTTGGGCCAAAAGTTCCAATCGTTTTGATTCTTTATGACGTTCCCGAAAATCAGGATTCCTTACACGGTCTTGCTGTGGAATTGAACGACTGCTGCTACCCACTCCTGAATGGTATCGAAATAACTCCAGACATTCAACTGGCGTTTGGTAACTTTTCTGTGGCTTACCTCCTTGCTTCTAGTCCTCATAAGCCGGGAATACAACGTGGTGATCTTATTGAAGCAAATGCTCCCGAATTCAAAAGTTACGGTGAAGCTTTGGAAAAGTATTCCAGGAAAAATGTCAAAGTAATCGTATACGGTGATTGCATGAACACAAATCTTTTCATTTGCTCCAAATATGCGCCGTCAATGCCACAAGAGAACTTCACTACAGTCGCACAGTTGAACATCAACCGGGTAAAAGCTCAAGTGGCTCTCAAACTTGGTGTTCCACCTACTTGCGTTCGTAATGTTATTGTTTGGGGCAACGATTCTTCGACAACCGTCTGCGATATCAGTAAAGCTAAAGTAATAATAGACGAAAATGAAGTAAAGGTTAAGAAAGCCATTGATGACTGCAACTGGATTCAACACGAATTACCGAGCATTGTCCAACGACGGGAAGATGACATTGTGGATTGCCAAGAGAAATCGGCTGGAATTTCAGCAGCCAAAGCTTTGGCACAACACACCCGATTCTTGTTTAGTATTTGCGTCCCAAGAAGTTACATTTGCATGGGCGTGTTCAGCGATGGAAGTTACGGGGTACCGTGCGACGTTGTTTCATTTTTTCCAGTTTGTATTGAAGATTGTAAATGGACGATTAATAAGAATCTTAGTCCAAGCCAGTTCATACGAGACCTGATAATATTATCAGGATGTGAATTAGAGCAGGAACGAGATAAAGCACTTGCAATATTGGAAGGTTGATATGTATCAATAAACAACAAACCAAAATTACATCAATAAAATTTAGGAAATCATGAATGAGGACACCTGTATAGATTTGTTTATTTTCTCCTTTATACAAAACACAATATAATAACAGTTTCTGAACGTTTTTGAAGTCCTATTGAATTTATTGCTATCCGCTAATTTCCATTTCATTGATTTTAACTATAATACAGAGCATATTGGACAAACTTTTATGACCTTTGCGTGTCTGGGCAATCCCAAAAGGTTATTTATTAGCAATAGTCAACGGGCAGCTAATAAAACAAGCAAGAATTGTTTGTTCCTTGAATATTTTTAGGTATTGATGGTCAAATAGTTGACAAATTGGTGATGGCTTTCACGATCAGTTGATGAACTGGTGCTTTCCTGATGTGGGAATCAAGGTCGTTAGAGTTGCTTCCTAACATTTTGCTAGTAACTAGTGGCGAACTTCTTCAAAAGACCTGGATGCTGAGTCTAGCGAATTGTTAGGAACTCCAATCATCTACGGCGTTTAGATCGGAATGAGGATAGTCCTAATGGTCAACTAGTTCTTAATTTTGCTTAAGTAATGCACTCAACAGTCTTGCTATTCACATAGTAAAAAAATGTACGATTTAGTCTCCAGTATTCAATGTATTTTCATTCCATAAAATTACTCCAGTTTGATCTTATTCTTGTAATCTTGATTTTTGTCTTATCCTTTGGATCAATTCTTGGTTTGTATGTTGCAGATTCGGGCTTGATCTTGATTTTCGGATAACCTTTCAGTCCTGACGTAACAGATTAACTTTTGGTAATGTATTCAACTTTCCGATTAACTTTTGGACTTATGTATCACTACTTGAGGTTTATATTATATTTTAGCCTTTAATCCTAACATTACTGATTAGTCCTTGCTCTTGACTTGTGGATTAACTTCTGATGCTAGTGTTGCATTTGGTCTTTGTCTTGTAGATTGACTGTGAGATCTTGCATTTGTGGATTAACTCATGGGTTTGAGTTGCGGATTTATTTATGAGTTGCTGAGTTAATTCTTGATTTTTATATTACTATTTAGTCTTGGAAAATAACCGTGGGAATTTTCATTGTGGATTCCACATTGGACTTTATCGTGTGAATTGACTCGTAGTCTTACAATGTTATTTCTCCCTGTACAGTCAGAGTTAGAATTGGAAGGTGTGTAGTTTGTTTGTTATTGATAACGGCGTCGATAGCGTCCGTCGGTGGCGTCTGTTTCCATGGCCAACTGGCCCGTTTGCCGCTGTAACTTTTAATTCCGCTTAGGCCGCAAATGACACGTAAACCGTTGCCTGTGCGGTCGTCGATTTAACGAGATATTACCGCCACATATAATGCCCCTTCGATAGCGACCATTACCGCCATTACGGCAAATATTGCACGGATTACCTATATCGTACACACACGTACACAGACGTGGACGCGCGCGCGGGAACACACGTCGAGTATTATCGTTTCGCTTAAATAGCAGAATAAATTGCCGCGATTGCCTTCTGATTAGTTTTAGATGAACAGATTCGCATGTGGTGCAAAATACCCCACGACGATAACACTAATATCGCACGTATAAGTGCATTATTGATGCTCACGTACACTCCTGAACACTTTGGTTTTTGGTGATAGAGGAGCAGGTGGTTAACACGATATTTCGAAAAACTGAAATACCTATAGGGTGTTTCGACATTAATTAAGTAATGAAAAACAAAGATTGAAGTTGAGGTGCTTACATGGAAATAAGCGTCAACTAATATAGATACTAAAAATGTTTCTTCTATCATCATCATCATCATAAGGTCGTGACGTCGTGAGTCGTAAAATTGGTTGGACACGCACCTCCACTCCTTCCTATCCTGAGCTAATCTTGACATTTATTTAAAACTAGAACATCCCACATCCTTAACTATTTACAAACATTAATCTAATCTAACAGACCACTTCGAATTATTTTGTTCGATTATGGTAACGTGCCTATCACGTTGAGGTGAGCTACGCCGGGATTCATTTCAGAAAGTAGATATCCATATTTTTAAATGGACCTTGCTGGAGCATACGTAATCCTAAAATGTAGCATCGCTCACCACACCATTTGTGTTATTTTCTAAAACGGGCTGTTAAGACAGCAGGTAAAGATTGGTCTGTGTTCTGTCGAAGCTGCTTGCGACGCGCTGATGAGATCCAAAAAGATCGAAATCGCGATCCGCGTCTGGCAGTTTCGACAGAACACAGACCACTTCGAATTATTTTGTTCGATTATGGTAACGTGCCTATCACGTTGAGGTGAGCTACGCCGGGATTCGTTTCAGAAAGTAGATATCCATATTTTTAAATGGACCTTGCTGGAGCATACGTAATCCTAAAATGTAGCATCATACTACAGATGGCGCTCACCACGTCATTTGTGGTATTTTCTTCTCTATCCATGGTATCCTCACATTTCGAACGTTTCTAACCTTTTCTTTTCCGCCGCGCCCACCGTCCATGTTTCGCACCCATATACGAATTTCTAAAGTAATCGTTCGCGAGCATAGAAGTAACTTCTTTTTATTGAAGGTGACTCGACCCTGCGCTATCCTCTGCTTTATATCTTTACTATTCCTTCCGTCTGACTTATCTGACTTGCCTAAAATCAGCCACTTCTTCTAATCTTTAGTCTCCTATTCCTATCCTATCTAATACCGCATTACCCAATAGGTATAGTAGGGCATAATATTCAGGAACAGAACAAACCAGAGTCAGGACAGGAGCCCATAATGCTGAGGCAATGTGATTCACCATCTCTTCAGAATAATTCCTTATTACTTTACATAGCAGAAATAAATATTTTCGTGACGTCTGTCAATTTTAGAAATGCTGTCTCCCGAATTTTATTTAACCCAACTTATAGATTATTCTGTCATTATTAAAAATTATGATACCTTCTGACAGCAAAATATCCAAGTTGCTCCTTAATACGTAAACGATATTCCAGTATCATTATTTACGTGAGAGAAATGAATCTCTCAAAGGTCTGCCAGGTACACTTATTAGTTCATTATCATCGTAACATTCTTGAGTAGAGAAATTTTTAATTTTCGCATCAAAACTTAATTGTTCAAAACTTAAACAACCAAGGAGAACGTAGTAAACAATATTTTGTAGAGATTTGTCACTTGGCGAGATCCTTTATAGTTAATGAGGTTTAAGGATATCGACTTGCTAAACTAATCAGTTCTTAAATAAAAAATATTAATCAAAACTCATAATAATTACAGCAAATCTCTACAGATGGCGTTTACTACTCTGTCTGTAGTTAATTGTTAAACGTTGTTGACTAGCAGCAGTTTGGGTTCGGAATTTCTATTAACAAGCTAGAAACCTTGGCCAATGTCTGGCAGTTTTGACTGAAGTAAGCTGATGATGAATTTACTGATATAATTTCCTCATTGGTTACAGCCTCCGTTAAGAGTTCTAATAACGGGCGCCGCGGGTCAAGTAGCTTATCACTTTGTGTTTATGTTAGCTAAAGGAGATGGCTTTGGTCGTCGAATTCGTTTACTATTAATTCTATATGATCTCCCCGAAACTACGGATTTGTTAGAAGGCCTGTGCATAGAACTGATCGATTGTTGCTATCCAACATTGCAAGACGTTGTAACGACTTCAAATATCGAAACCGCTTTTACTAATGTTTCTGTAGCCTTTTTGATCGGCGGCAAACCATGTTCTGCGGATATGAAACTGAGCGATCTCGTCGAAGTAAATACTCCCATATTCAAAGTTCAGGGACTGGCTTTAGATAAATACGCGAAGAAAACTGCCAGAGTAATAGTTGTTGCTAATCCAGCGAACACGAATCTTTTCATTTGTTCAAAATACGCTCCGTCGATTCCTAAAGGAAATTTTTCTGCGCTGACGCAGTTGGACTGTAGCAGACTAAGAGCTCAAATTGCGCGAAAGTTACGAGTGACACCTAATAAAGTTCGAAAAGTTTTAACCTGGGGAAGTCAATCGCCGTCTTTGGTTTGCGATGTGACCAAGGCGGTGGTTGTCAACGAAGGCAAGGACATTTCTATTGCTGAGGCTGTCGATGATGACGATTGGTTAAAGTACGATTTGACGAATATCGTTCGTAATCGAGAAGAAGAAGTTATGAATTTGACAAATAAATCGCCATCTATTTCAGCGGCTAAGGCTTTGCTTGACCATACTCGCAGTCTATTTCATACTGGGAACGATTTCAACAACTTCACGTGCATGGGCGTGTTCAGTGACGGTAGTTATGGGATACCGGAAGGAATGGTTTTTTCTTTTCCTGTCCATATTTCGAGTTCCACATGCTCGATCGTGCAAGGAATTGAAATAGACGAATATTATCAAAATTTGATTGATAAGTCAATATGCGAATCAGAACAAGAAAGAGACCGAGCTCTTCGTATATGTGTTCTCAACCAAAATTCGTCGGATATAGAAATTAATAAAAATGAATATCAAAATCAAAATGTTGATGAAACCCAACAGCAGTAAAACGACCGATATCGATATGTATTGTTCAGCTGATTTGGTATTTTATTCGGGTAGATGTAAGTTAATATCTTATAGTGATTGTATTATATGATTAACCAAAGTAAAGATTAGCTGAATTTTCAATGTCAGTATTTATTTAAATGGTACTACTCATTAAGTCCCACTTATACCATTGCCTATTTTTAATTGGTAAGTGATTCGTGGCATTACGCGATCTCGTGGCCATTAATATAACTATTTCCAGCGTGTCAGCTGTGATATTTTTTAAAGTTGTCCACCAAATTTATATTATTATTTTTTTGAAAAACAGCATCTTTCATGGTATCAAAATCAATCATTAATTATTAAATTTCATTCAAAAGTAATTTTCTTAATCACTTAAATTAGAATTTTATTATGTATTTATTTAATTTGCCTATAAATTGCCATGTCAAACACAGTTGACACCCTGACGCTAGTTCGCGCATGACCACCAGTCAGCGCAGCCTGTCCACTGACAGATGTCAATAGAGTAACATCACCACATTTTTTAACTGATAGATCACCAAATTAATATTTTTCTATGCGTACTCTTTTGGTGTGTTTTCAAATTTAAAATATTAGGTACTTAAACTCCTCCATATTTAATTTTATCCACCTTGTATATTTGGTCGAACGAAAATAACTGTAACCAACAGTAGGGACTTGCAAAAGAAGAATTGATGAATAAAACGTGAGCGGAAGGGACAAAACAAAATGTCACCTCTCTATACCACTGTGCAGCCGATAGATAATATAAACATGAAGTGGCGGTTTTTGCGAAAAGTAATTAGTCTTTGTGAGACCGAACAACAACACCAACGACAACGAGACATCATCATCATCATCATCCGGCCGGAGTAGAAGCAATAGCAGCGTCAATTAAAATGCATATAGGGTTATTCAGCTTGTTATGGTGCGAAATAATTAGTTGTAGAAGAAAAATCCTCGCTTACATTTGATCCGGGGGTATCTGCGCGCAAATTGGCAATCTTGTTAGGAGCTGTTAATTGGGGGACTTAGAGCAATTTGTATGCAACACGGCACTTACTCTCTAGTCCTTGGATTAATAACAGAGACATTGTTGGTTCGTAGGTTGGCTGCCTGGGTGGGTAGCTGTGGGTGCTGCCATTTCGCCTCGGCAACTTCCTCCCTTCCTGTCGATGTGGTGGTGTACTGGTTCCATGCTCCTCGTCTATTTGCTTGTTATAATTGAACAAGTCACGTTTTTATCCCCCATTTTTAATTTCACATAATTTAGGTCACAACTTTATCCCTACGGATTATTCGGCCATGTTCAAGAGAGATTGGGGTTAGGATTTTTTCATACGTTTATGGGCAGAGGACGAGTAAAGATTATTATGAATATAGTTTGTCGATTCACTCATACTTTTCAGAAAATTTATTATTTATTATCAAATCTAGGCAGATTGCAGTTAACATTTTATTAATATTTCTCATTGTCAGTAAGGATTGTTGATTTTTTACTTTCTATTTCTACGCTTGATGATCTGATTTTTTTGTCACCTGTTTTCAGGAAGGCATGATCGTACTGCAATTGTTCAATTAAATTTATTTATTAAAAAGATTCTTATTCTTAAGACTTTCTTATCCTGAGTTAATCTTCTCATTACCCTAACACTAGAACATTCTACATCCTTAACTATTCGTGAACAGTAATCTAATCTAGGTCTACCTCTACTCATTTTAACTCCTGTTACTGCTTTTAATATGTCTCTGAAGAGCCCTTCATGCCTGAGAAGGTGTCCTACCGATCTATCTCGCCAATTTCTTATTGACTTCCATAGAGTCCTCTGTTTTCTCATTCGTTCTAATACCTCGAGCAAAGAAGTGACTTCCATTTGTTGAAGGCGACTCGACCGTGCGCTATTCTCTATTTTATTTCTATACTGCACCTTCTACCCTAAGTTATCTTAAGTAGTTACTAATTTTTCTTCTCCTATCTTTATATTCGTTCTTTAAGGGGAAATAGAGACCACAAAATCAAATTGCTCAATATTAATGTCTGTGATGGTGTTTTTAATTCGGAAACCAGGAAATCGTTTTTTGATTGATTCTATTTTACCTGATAAAATTTAATGGTAGTTTTCCTATAAATTATGGAGAGACACGGTGGAATACGAATTAATTTCTCCATCATAAATGATTTTATTAAAGCAAGCCCTTACGTTTACCGTATAGAGATAAGCCATTATTTGAAACGAGACGTTGGAATGTTGCACGATGCTGTAGGCAATAGTGGTTGGCGGTGAAGGAGAGGGAAAGGGGTGGGACAGGCGTTAGGGGTAACGTTGGAAAGCTGGAAAATTCAATCAGCACCGCGCATTTTGATAACGGTGTTAAAAAGGCCATGAAGTTAACATTTATGCGAGAGATAAATATTAATCGCATGCAACTAAATGAACGAGTTGTGTATCAGCGTGCGTGTACTGATACATGTGCGCACAGCCGAGCTCAATATTTTACGGGCAAAATGTCCCCGTTATGAGATAATGGCGATTAAAATTGACGCTCCGCTATTACGTTTTGTTGCCTCGGTCATTTGGCGCGATGCTGGCCCAAGCTCTCTCTCTGATGTCCCCTCGTCATCCTCTGCCTCGGTCTCTAGCATAATGCTTCGAGATATGAATATCCGTTTGTAAATACAATTGGCTTTTCTTTGGATCACTTTCATAAATATTTTCTCTAATTTTTTGTAATCTCCAAAAGATTTCAAAACCAGTGTAACCACATCCACATTCCGTTTACTGAGGTATATCATCATCATAAGGTCGTCCACTCTTTCCTATCCTAAGCTAGGAGTTAGGTATATACTGTGGTAATATTGTTATGAGGGAAAAACTGAAGAAACATATCTTGACAGAAATTCTCTTTCATGCTTGTGTCTGGATAATAAAATTTCTAATTCAGTTTCATTCAGTTAAGGGTTTGTATGTAACTCCTTGTAAACTTAAAAGGGTGAGAGACCATAAGCAATATTGTAACTGGGCGAAGGTTCAAAATGGGTTCAATTGATAACACATAGTGTGCTAAAGTTGGAAAAGGTCATTTATCTTTAGCATTACATTTAAATAGTTAAGGATATGGGTTGATCTAGTTTTAAAGAGTGGAAGTGCGTGTCCAACGTGTCTTAGGACTGACGACCGTATGATGACAATGATGGGGTTTTTTGTGTCCATCTGGATGAACACTGTCCCACCAAAACCTTTAACCAAACTTTCAGGATATATTTATATTGACATAAAGTCAATTTTGGCTAAAAGAATTCACGTACCAACACTTAGAATAATTAACTTCAATAAATTTTAGTTTTGAATAAAAATCAAAAACGTAATTATAAAATAATTTTCAGAAATGGCATTGACATTCCTGGGGTACGAGGGTGTTTAAGACTGATTATATTATTTTTATATGTACATATATTAGAAGATGCTTCATTTACGTAAAACAGATATAAAAGGAGCAAAGGTTGAAGCAAAAACGCTTCAGGACATTTGTATCCATTTTGGTCCATCCTGGTGCATTCTTTCTGACAAACTTTTTTCCTTATTTATGAAGTTAGAGGGCATGTCAGATGATGTCCCGAAGCCATGGTTTGTTATATGACAACTGCAAGTGCGTTTTTCTTATTCTTCATTGTTAAGACCATGAATCTTCCGGCAGTATCGCGTTGTTGTCGTGGATGGTGTCGCAAAACAGAGTGGCTCCTTTGTCCCCCTTTATATGCTCTCATGCAGCTTCGGAAAACAAACGGTGTATTTTATTTAGAGACAGTAATTAACCGGTGTGCGCTTTGTCTTTTGCGTACGTATATTTATTTATCCGCCTGTGTATATGTAGATAAAATCTAGGTGTAAATTTCCATTTGCTAATTGAATAATACCAATGGAATACCTTCACATGGTTCTCTTTAACTTGAACATCCATCGAATTTGAATGTTTGTAAATACGTGTCTTGTCAATGTAATTAAAGCAGCTCTTTAGATTCTAAACTATGTAAGACTATGCATATCGTTGTTTACATACTAAGAACGCCTATGCTCGCTTAGTAGACAAACATCTTCAAAATTAAAATAATTCGAAGTGGTCTGTATTCTGTCGAAACTGCCAGACGCGGATCGCGATTTCGATCTTTTTGGATCTCATCAGCTCGTCGCAGGTAGCTCCGACAGAACACAGACCAACTTTTACCTGCTGTCTTAACAGTGCGTTTTAGAAAATACTACAAATGGCGCAGTAAACGCCATCTGTAGTACGATGCTACATTTTAGGATTACGTATGCTCCAACCAGGTCCACTTGTGTGGATATCTACTTGCTGAAAAACGAATCCCGGCGTATTATTCGAGTTATTTTATTCGAGTAAGCTAACGTGCCTATCACGTTGGGGTTGGCTACGCCGGGATTCGTTTTCAGCAAGTAGATATCCACTCAAGTGGACCTTGTTGGAGCATACGTAATCCTAAAATGTAGCATTGTGCTACAGATGGCGTTTACTGCGCCATTTGTAGTATTTTCTAAAACGCACTGTTAAGACAGCAGGTAAAAGTTG